CTTTAAAGAAGAAGCAAGCTTGGTTCTTTTTCCTTGCCTCATCTAGCACTTCATTTGCGATGACCACACTCTCAGGCAGATGTCTTCCAGCAATGAAAGCCATTTGGTTTTCCCCGATTATTTCCTCCAAGACTCTTCTCAATCTGTTGGCGAGCAGCTTTGACAGAATTTTGTAACTTACATTGATGAGTGAGATTGGTCTAAATTCCTCAATCTTTTCTGGATTACTGACTTTAGGGATTAGAACCACAAATGATTCATTTAGGCCTTTGACAATCCTTCCTTTGTCATGAAACTCCCTGATAAAATCAATGACTTCTCTTTTAATTATCTCCCAATTTTTCTTAATAAAGTTGGAAGTTGAAACCATCAGGACTTGGCGCCTTTGAACTATCACAATCCCAAATTGTTGCCTTAATTTCCTCTTCAGAGAATTGAGCTGTGAGCATTTGATTTTGTGATTCAGAGATTTGATTGAAATTCAACCCACCAAGTGTTGGTCTAACCCATTCTTCATATTGAAATTCAGCCCACCAAGTGTTGGTCTAACCCATTCTTCATTCTTAAATAATGATTGAAAATATTTAGCAATTTCCTCTCTAATGTCATCCACCTCAACACGTTGGTAACCATTAACCATAATGCAATTTATTTCATTTTTCATCAATCTACTCTTGATGCATTTATGGTAAAAAGCTGTATTAGCATCACCTTCTTGTAGCCACATTCTTCGAGCTTTTTGATGCCACATCCTATTTTTGATTCTGACATTCTTCGAGAGTTCTACAAATGATTCTTTTCTGGCTTGCACCTCTCTAACATTAAGCCTTTGTCTTTCTCCTTTCTTGTCAAGTTCTGCAATTTTATCTTCTGCAGTAGAAATCTTTTTGTCGACCTCCACCATATAATTTCTACTCCAATTCTTTAGAGCACCTTTCAATCCTTTCAATTTCTCTTTCAAGATATAGCCTTTCCACCCGTGAATCTTAGTAGATGACCAAGAATCCTGTATTAACTTCTCAAATCCTGGCTGCTCCATCCACACATCGAAGAATTTAGACGGTTTAGGACCCCAATCCACTTTTTAGTTCTTTAGCAAAATTGGACAATGATATGAGATAGACCTTTTCAATCCCCACTGCCTCACATCTTCCCAATTCAATAGCCATTCTTCTGAGACTAAAAATCTGTCCAGTCTACTCATTGAGGTTCCATTTGAATGATACCATGTGTATTTTCTCCCAATTAATGGCAAATCAATCAAGCCTGAATCCATGATGAAGTTTTTGAACTCTCTAATTTCTCTAGCATTTCCCCTGCTTCCAGCACGTTCTTGATGCTCTTTCACAGCGTTGAAATCACCTACAACATACCAATTACCTCTACTGGCAATAATTAAGTTCCTTAGTTCATCCCATAAAGATCTTTTACCATTTAAATCGCATGGTGACTACACATTTACAATGTATATAGGAACTTGCTCCTTCCCCCAAATCCAAATATCCCCAAAAAATTGCTACCAGCAAACACCCTTTCCTTCTTAAAAGTTTTTGGATCCCAGATACACTATAGACCCCTAGATCTTCCAAATGATGACTTAAATTCCCAGTCGAACTCCCTTTTACCCCACAAAGCTTGACAAACCTGATCATCAACAGATTCTAATTTTGTTTCTTGTACAGCTAAAAACTCCACATTTTCTTGATGGACCAAATCTCTAATCCCCCTTCTCGTGACCCCACCCCCTACACCTCTAGCATTTAATGAAAGAATAGTCATTTTGATAATAGTGTACCTGCTCTACCTTCCTTCTCGTCTTGCTTCTCCAAAGCTTGTTTTGCCCTTCGATCCCTGTCTTCCATTTCTTCAATTTTTTGAGCAATCTCAACTTCATTTTCGTCAGTTGTTACTCCAATTTTCTTCCCAAATTCCCAGATTTTCTTTGCTTCTTTGCTCCGATGACAACCAAGAAGACTTCGATTTCTATTTCTGATGTCGCTATCTGTTACAGAAATCCCAGCTACTCTGCTTTGTGATGCCAGCAGAAACTCCGGGGCGATTTCTGAGCATCTATCCTTGTAGCTTAGCAACCGCTTCCCCCTTTTAGTCCCCTTTGTTTCCGAACAGCGTCTAGAATGCTTGAAGACCTCAATACACAGCCTTGCCTTTTTTGCTTGCCTTCTTTCTCTCTTCTTTTGCTTCTTTCTCTCTTCTTTTGCTTCTTTCTCTCTTCTTTTGCTTCTTTCTCTCTTCTTTTGCTTCTTTCTCTCTTCTTTTGCTTCTTTCTTTCTCCCCTGACCATCCAATGTGCTAGCTTTCTTGAGTCACTGTCGATCCCTTCCCAGAAATTCACTTCTGATGGTTCCTTGCTTTTCATTGGATTCATTTATGTCTCTTCTTGTTGGTCCCTTGAAATGGGCTTGGCAGCAATTCTTTCTAATACTAGCCCAGCATCACTCACATCTTTATTTGCTTCTTGGACAACCAGCCCAAGTTTTTCATACTCCAAAAGCCCATTGTTGTTATCCTCAATAGGCCCAATTCCCTTTGTATCCTCTATACCGTTCAACTCTTTATCTGCTGAAATATTGATGCTACACCATTAGTATTGCCTTGATTTTGAACCAAATTCAAACTGTCTAGCACAATCTCCTGACATTCATCATTCGACTGCATGCCTTGGGAACTTTCAGCGGTCATACTGACACCTATTTCCTGCACGTCTTTTCCTTGCATGCCGTTGTCACTCCCATCTTTGGGTTTGTTCACTGACCTTTCTTCCTTCTCACACTAGATTTGCGCCACGTCATCATCTTCAACTTGCAATCCTTTTTCAAATTCCAGAAAGTCCAGGTTTCTACTATAATCTCCATGGCTATCAACTTCATATTTGCCACTAGAATCACTAGCACCCGACCCGGATTCATGATCCTCTGAGTTCCACTTTTCAGCCGAAACCCAATCTGAAGTCATTCTAAATAAGCTATTTGTGGATTCCTCCTCCATGACTTTGATCTTGTATAAGGCTCCATTGACTGTAATTGTAATTGTCCTTGAGATAAATTCCATAATTGGAGTGGAGATGAGAAACCTTGCCACATCGAAGCGCTTTCTTTTGCTTGTACTGTCATCTAAGCACAGAAACTTTCCAAATAAACAGCTTGAAGTCGAAAAGTTATCTGAATTCCAGCCATGAACAGGCATTCCTTGACATTTTAACCAAGTGAAACGTTCAGTTGCCACTATTTCAAGGGACCAAGGCTTGATGTCTTCAAACCAGTGTCCAAGCCAATCAGCGGTAAGCTCCACAAGATCCTTCATTTCGTCCCTGTCACTTCCTTTTAGCAACACTAGTTTCCCTCCCATTGGACGGATTTTGCAGGTAAAGTAGCCTTCCATAAAGAACTTTTCCTGCAAAAGTGGAACCGACTCTACAGAATGAACTGTACCAACCATGCATCCTTTCAGCCACTCCTCGTCATCCTTCGTGGCCTTTAATTTGAGTCCCGTTTGATTATTAACTTCTTCCTTAGCCTTCCATGTTTGCCCTCCATGCTCACCATCAATTCTATTCAGCTTTCCTTTCACCTGTTGGCCCTCCTTCACCACCTCCGCGTAGCTTCTGTGTTGTTGAACACCACCCATGTTCCTCGCGAATGGTGCATCAGCTTTCTCTTGTAGGCTGTATTTCGGTCTATTCACCTTCAAAGTAAAATTACCTACTTGAATCCCATTCAGGCGCCTTTCAAGTTCCCTCTCATCTTTCACCTCCAGGAACCTTACAAACCCAAATATTCTTCCCTCTTTGTTTTCTCTTTGTGGACTGTAAATGGCAAACACTCTTCCAAAATGAAGGAAAGTTCTCCACATATCCCCGTGGCTCCAGTCATCTGGAAAGTTTGTGAAGAAAAAAGGGATTGCTTCGTTGTAGACACCTCGATCATATCCTCAAGGTTCCTGCCTTCTACTGTCTTTCCATACTCGGCCTTGATCTGCTCGACCCTGTTCCTTTCTGCCAAAGAACTCTCTGCTCCGTGCCATCCGCCATGCCTGTGACCGTCCGCCTTCCCATCTTCTCGCTCTCTCTCTACCTCTATCTCTGATCACTCGAGCGTTTAGAAATATAGAGTTTCTTAGCTAGAATGCCACTTGATTGGTTCCCTTTCTTTTTCTTGTAAAGCAAACAAGTATTTTCCTTATAGTACTTGATAGGTTGAATTTATGCACATAACAGAATGCTAATTTAGCTTTAATTATTAATTTGGATGGATTTAGTATGATTTATACTAGATTTTACATTATTTTCTTGTGTAGGATAGAACCTAACCTTTAAAAATCAAAATATAGAACTAAATCACAATGTTTCACAAAGTAACATAATGAATAAATAGCTGAAGCTAAGGACCAAATTGTAGAATTCTAAAATTTAAAGACTAAAGTTTAAAAGTTTTTTAAAATAGAGGAGTAACACTATAGTGCATCATTAAGAAAAGAAACATTTTGAATCATGTGTCGGCAGCTCCTCGCTCTCCCTCCCCTCCCCACCGCCCCCCCTCTTTTTCTGTCAATTTATATAATTATAACCTAGTGTTATATAATTAGAAAGATATTAAAAAAATCAAATCAAAGCTTATAATAATAAAATATAAATAAATGAAAAATCAAATCTTATTAACACTAGATTGTAATATTCGATATATGTTAGATATAAGTTATCTTAAATATTATTTTAAGAGTTCATTAAATATTTATTGAAGATTTTTTTAAACTCAATAAATATTTATTTAAAAATTTAAAAAATTTTATTGTTAAAATAATTTTATATATAATTAAGATATTAGAAACAACACATGCAATTCAAGAGCAAGAAAAGATGAAGTAATGACTTTATCTACCAACAGTAAGCTTGATTGTAACTTTAACCCATTATCATTTATTTTCCTAAGGTCATTAAAATC